AGATCCAAAATAATAAATACTTTGATATTTACTATTAGATATTGTTGTCACAAAAGAGCTGGAGTTGAAAAAATTATTCAAAAATATATCAAAATATGATTACTATTATAGAAAAATTAAAAAGGCATAGGCAAGAATTGTTAAACATTATTGCTAATAGGATGATTACAACAGCTTTGTGTGGGGTAGGCACATAGTATTTAAAAAATAATTACAACTAGTTATCTTAAAAGTATGTGACTCAGTTCTTGAAAATGTATATAACTAATAATCATGAATTCTTTTAAAAAAAGTAAACAAAAATAGATAAAACTATAGATTATAAACAATAGAAAGTACATGTCAAACAAGATGTAATAAGTTTACTTGCTTAATATCTCTTGTTTAATACATGGAAGTATAAGTCATGCTGGAGTTGAATGAGCCCAATATAGTGCATGGTCTTAGTAGGAATCACCTTTGTGATCTCTTATATACATAGGTAAAGAGAGTATATGAGCATGAGAAAAACACACAGTATTAATAATTTATTTATTTTTTTTAGAACAATAACACCTTGAAAATCCAAACTAGGTTCAAAAAAGTGGTTCAAAGTTAACAGATAATATAATATCATTATTGATTTAGTAAGAGAGGCCAGAAACAAAAATACATTTATATTTTTAAACACTTTATTGATATTATTATATTATATCTTTTTAGAGTGAACCTGAATATTATTGGATTTAAAGACAATAAAAAAAAAACAAAAAAAGATTCAGACAGCATGATGTAATCAATTTTTATAATATATATAAAAAGATAAACTCTAATAGTATAGTAATAACTAATTTTTACTGCACAAAGGCTGCAAAATAGAAAGCAGAAGAATTCAACATACTATTAACAGATCCACAATGTGGAAAGTCGAATTGATATTTTTTTTGAACATTTAGAATCCTGTAAATCTTGTAAATCTAAAAAAGACACAACTGATAGTTTTATAAGTAATAATAATAAAATTTGAGCATTACTAAGAAACAAAACTATTGTTTATAGTTAGCTTCTTTTTTTTTTTTTTCTTTATAAAGAAATTTATATTTTTTGAAAAATAATGATTTTTATTAAAATATGTATTCAAATAGAAATTTTATTAACACAATAATACAATTTCTTTGAAATTTTATTAAATTTAACATTTAATATAAGTGTTCAGATGTTATTCTTTCTAACTGAGGCTAAAGTAAGTAATATATTCTTTTTACTAGTTATCTATTTCTTTTATTGTTCATAGTTATTCTATAATTAGAAACACATGAATTCAATATTCTGTGATTAATTTACTAGCAACATAAATAAATCTTTACTTTTATTTTAACTTTTACTTATAACTAGCTAGTATTTTTTCTAGTATTTACAGGAACTGGATGTTGTTTATTGATTGTATAAGTTAATATAAATTTAAATATAAATCTTTTATATATATTAAAGCCCTTAGGTTGATCCATACAAATTAGCTTCTTGATAGATTATAAATCAGATTGATCTATACAAGTCAGCTTTTTGGTTGATTATAGGTCAAAAATTGGCCCAACTCAGGTTATACAGTTTATAATTAGATTATATATAATAGATAAAATTTAGTAATCTAGTATTTTTAATATAGAAAATAGATGAATCTAAAGTTTCGATTAGAAAGCTAACAATTATCAAGTAGTTTTCTAGAGGGGAGAGGTTAAAAAAATTAAAATTTTATATGTAAGATCTAATCAATTATATATTAAAACTAGGGGGTAAGCTTTTAATAAAAAAAAATCAGGTATAAATAACACTATCCTTACCCAATTTAAATATTTGTTATATATTAATATAATAGATATAATACAGGGACCAATAAAGAATCCGATAAAAAAGAAAGTCCAACTGGGGTATTGGGGTTGTTGTGAACCCATACAAGGGCAGAGGATATATGGGTTAACACTCTAGTACTAACTTAGGTTTAAAGGCATAATATTTCTGAAACCTAATCTGGAAATGTGTAGGACATGGAAGGAATTAGAAGGGCATCTACTGCGCCCGTCCTTGGGTAATACCAGAAGATTAGTTTTGATAGATTAGCCTAATGAAGGTAAAGCCAGTGGGGAATATCAACCTGGGTAGTCCCTATTTGGATATTAACTAGATAGGTTGCAGCACGAGGATACAGCTTGTAGACATAAAATAGGATAGTGCAGGATTGGGGTGTTAGAGAGTTTAAAATGAGTAATCCTTTAGTTGAGTTACAGGTATGGCAGCTAGTGAACTACTTAAATAGGCATTCAAAAGGTGCATGTGTAGCTAGTTGTACTCCTGCATACTAAAAATATACTTCTATACATAGTATATATAATGGTTACATTAGTAACAAAAATTGCATCTAATAAAAGTCGGCCATAATGGTATTTGGCATAATAATAATAAAAAAAAAAAAATAAGTATAATACAAAATTGTAAAATTTTATAAGCTTTAACTCTTTAAACTCTTATATAACTATTGACCAAGATAATGCTATAAATAAGAGCTATCATATTAACTTTATATTAGTATTAATTTTAAAACTTTATAATTTTTCATATAACTCATTAATCTAGGCTACCTAGTTTATTATTTTCTAATCTATGTAATAGCTTAATTTGAGTAGTCAATTGAAAAATAAATTGTTAAAATTTCATCATACAAATGCAGATTAAGGGTGTTCTTAAGCATTTTAGTTGATTGGTTAAAATAGATCAGAAAGCAAATTTTAGTTGGTTTTCAGATTAATTGTATTTAATATTCTAATAGATAATATAATTGAATACACCAGGGTAAACATATTTGTGGTATATATAAGAATACTATCATCTTATAGAAGGAATTCATCTAATTGGCTGTAGGGATGAGAAGGTTTTTTAAAAAATCAAGTTTAATTTGGTTTAAGGAGTTGGTTATTTTAAAACCAGGTTTGGAGCTTTAAAACTATTTAAACTAGTTTTAATACAGTTTGTATACTAGGTAAATAGAGGTCATTTAAGGTCCAAAGAACTTATCATGGATTAGTCCAACAATAGGTATTTTTGAAAAAATGTTTGTTTTTATCAAATCAACCAATCAAACCTCTTAATTTATAGATACATACACATCCAGATTACTATAACTCTTCTGTAATGTTCTTTAGACAATAAATTATAAATATTGCATTTTTTATATACTCCTTACATATTTGTATATACCTCTTGTATAAACATATATAAATATGCATATTTATGCATTATTATATATGATTATGTACAATTATGTAAGGATATATAAAAAATACAATATTTATTTAAACCAAACTAGTTTAAACTAAGTTTTTAAACTAGCTATTTAAAACTTTATTAGTTGGTTCAGTGTTTATTTTTTACAGTGTATACATGTGTATACACTGTACAAGTTTAATCAAATTACTTTATTTCAAAATTTGATTAGACCCACACAGTGAAAAATAAATACTGAGTTGGTTAGTTTAGTTTTAACTGCATATATTAGAGTTTAATCAAACTAACCAAACTTCTTCATCTCTAATTGGCTGATATAAATCAATTGCCTCAGTAACTTATTTATATACTTTAAAGTTCTTTTTAAGACACAACATATTATATAAATTAAATATAATAAAAATTATTAATATTAAAATTCTGTTAAGTAATCAAGCAAATTTTTTAAGCTAGTTAATATGTAACTTACAGAGAAGATACATTTGAAATTTGATAATTTTTATAATCATTCATATAAAATTTTTAAACCTTGCCTATTTGTTTAGCAGAATCTATATTTTAAATTAATTAAGTTTTTTTAAAAAAATTTTTTCAATAAATTTTTATTTAACTTATTGAAATAATCTATTTGTCACAGGTGGTGATGGTACCCAAATTTTATTTATAATTTTATTTAAGATTAAAAGAACATAACTTAGTATATAATAAAATTATACAAGAAATATTTTTTGTTAAGTCATGGAACTTGATTTTATAATCATAATTTTGAAGTTATTTCAATTTAAAAATTTTGATATTTTTTGTAACTGCTAGCAACAGATAGATTCGCCCATTTTTTTAACAATAATCAAATAGTTTTAATAGATAATAAATTGTAATCGATACACAAAAAAAATTATATATTCGATTTTTATATATTAATTAAAAATTATGTAATTAATTAAAGAAATGTGTGATAACAACTAAGCTAATGTGTAGCATTGTGTGTCCGGAGCACATGACAGTTTTCATATAACACAAACGCGTAAGCATGCATATTTTTTGTTGTACTAAATTACAAATTTGAACACGCGTGCGGACAAAAATTCAAAATTACACTTTTGATCAAATTTCTAGAAGATTTACGGAGATGTATCAAAAAAGGAACTTTTTTTGTCAAAATGCATCAAAAACGTAACTTTTGTATCACAATGCATAAAAACTTAGGGTTATCATGGTGTCAACCATATGTTTTTCATGCCATCATTTTAAACGGTTTATTTCAGAGAAAAGAGAAGGATTTTATGACAAATAGTGGCAACTCTTTAGCATGTCAGATACCATCGATGCGTTTTATCAGCATAAGATCTCGAACTTCGCCTAACAACCATACATGCAACTTAATTCGTGTTTAGGGCGACTAATAATTACATACAATTTAATTTTTATTGCCTTAAACAAAGAAAGTGTAAAAACGTATAATTTGAGTTTTATAATTTTTTTTTTTCAAAACATGTATAATTTTTAAATTGCAAACAATAATATTGTTTTTCATTGAGAAAAGCTCTTCCAAGGTTGAAAACTTTTATGAAATAGTTTAATTGAATTATATACCATATGTAATTAAATCTAAAGTAAATCTAATTATGCTTAAGTTTTTAGCTTTATAACTCTTAAACCATTGTCCACATTAGCTACCTATAATAAGATCCCTCAAATACTGCTTACAAAGTGTTATCTGACATAAAGTATATATTAGCAAATTAAAGCCAACCCATCCATCCAATCCACATAATACCAAGAACAACAGGATCAGTTGCCAAATCAATTAAACATTCAACTTGTTCTTTGATACTATCACACTTTTGGGGTACGTAAGCTCGAATGTTATGTTCCCGATTACCTCTAGCAATTGCCTGAATGCTTTCAATGAATGATTTTTTTGAATGTCCAAACGCCAACTCTTCACAAACAAGATCTGTAAATTGTTTATAAGTTAGAATTATGATACAAGAATGATAGAAATTAATGTTTCAAGAAAACACTCACAAGCAGGGTTTTCACCCTCGAGTTTGCGCCTAGCAATGTCTAATTTTTGACGTGGATACCATTCTGCAGTTTGAGAAATTTCATCGATTTCACCACTTCCTTCATTCTCTAAAAAATGTGGATATATATTAGACAAAGCGTGTTCTAGACATTTTAGACAATAAAAACTTAGGTTTACTTTGTTGTCGTGCTTGATTCCTTGCTCTAGTTTGCCAATCCAATAATGGCTCTTTAACAAAGATTTCCATTGCATTAAGTAATATATCTTTGTGTGCTTGCATAGCTATAAATATATGAGTTATGGAATTAATACGAATCATTTATAATATTTATAATTATATCTATAATTATATCTATAATTTATATCGTGCTTACTTTGCATTATTTTTGTCATTGGATACTCCAAAAGGCCCCGTGAACCGAGCGGTTCCATTACACTTTCAAATTGTTTGGTAAGTCGGAATGGTACCAACTCTGGAACTTCAAGTGTTTCAGTCGCAGAGCCAAATGCGTGACCAAAATCAATGGAAATTAATGACCCTCTAAAGGAAAGAGTTAATAATTATATTAAGCTTATCTTGTATATTAAATTTCATGTGTATTCAATAACTTACTTGGTAAGATCAATTAAATAATTTTCCAAGTGACGGTCACCAATTCCTGAAATAAAAATAATTTATCTCAATTTATATAATTACGTTAAATTACAACGATCCGAAAACAAGATCATAAACCTACCAATTAAATAACCACAAATATTTATTGCAGCTAGATTTTTAACGAATTCATTACGAATTGCTAAATGAACTTCAGGAGATGCAGCAAGTTTATATAATGCTGTTTTTAATAGGTTTCTATTAAGCATGCTATGTAAAGTCCTTAGGTGTTTAATAATATCATCTCTGGGAGCCTTTTTCATAAGATTATAATATCCTAATAAAAAAACATAAAATAAATAATAATTTCAATATCCCTTAAATATTTATTTATATATTCATGTATTTACCAGAGTTGTATTTATCAGCATATTTCTTCACCCAATTGTCATGCTCGAATTGAGTATTATCAATTTCGGAAGGATCGGAAAGTTCATTCTCAATAAATGATCGTAATGGCCTAGTGTCATTTATCCACTCAATTATCCCTAAGCTACCGGTAATAGGAACAACCTACATTAAAAAAAATTCATTTAAAACTTTATATGAATACGAATACACCACAAAGTATAAGAATTAAACATAACTAACCTTATATGTAATCAATTCAATTTTACGCTGAGAACAAAAATAATCTTTGCGCATTAACTCATTCATAACTGTGAATAATTGTTGAACTCTTTGATCTAATCGTAAATCTTCTCCTCCCTACAATAGATTTAGTAAACATCCATACAAACAGAAGCATACAAACTAGAAGTAAAAAAAAAATTGCACAAACTTACTTTCACTAGAAAAGGGTATTCTTTACCATCTGTTCCAATTATAACAATCCTTTTAGGCTTCCTTAAAGATCTTAAAACCAAAATCTTAGGATCAAAATAGGCGATATTTATATGTCGGCTAGGATCCGGAATGCCTAATCCATCATATTGACCTGGTATTTCAATCATCTAAATTAGAAACAATATCAAATTAAAATTTACTTAAACCCCAAAAAAATGACTACTAGGTAAAACAAATATACAATACTTCATCGCAATTTGATGAAGAAAAATCTGCAAGCCACTTAGAATACGATTTAAGTAAATTTGTAGCAGATGATGGTTTCTTTTCACCACGCTTTATATTTTTCACGTAATATTCCCAAATCGTTTTTCTAAATTCAGGTTGAACGAATTTTGCTAATTCAGATCCATCAATTCCTAAAATTCGCGAAAAAGATTAATTAATAATTACATAGCTCAGCATAATTGAGGCAAGTTATAAGTTATAAATTTTTTACCACAAAATTTTATCAAATTATCCGCATGACGCTTGGCAAATTCTTTAGGTAATAAAAAGTTAAGGATTTAAGATTTATAAAATATATTAACTATTCAGTATTCAATAAAGTTAATGCTATTTAAAACGTTAAAGGATATCAAAAAGTCCATAATGTTGATTCTGAACATCTAAGAGAAAGGTCTTCATTCTTTGAAAAGACTCTTTGATTTCTTTATGCTGGTCATTTGTTGAAGTTTTTGACCTGATTAAAGACTATAAAAAAAATTTTTTTAATGTGCCTCATATAATTCATAAAAATTTGATTCATAAAGATTTGATTCATAAAGATTTAAATAAATTCTTACCCAAATTGACTGGACCCAATTGCCAAAATGAATTTCTGAATCAGTGAGCCTTTGTAATTCCGCAATTAAAGTATCAGTCATGTCACACTTTATCTTTTGTTTGAGAATTTGAACTCTTGACTTGTTAATTTCCGATTCTTTAGATTTTTCATCAAAATTATAATGTTCACTACTAATTTTCAATGGGTAATATAGGCTTTTGGGGTATTGCTCTGCCAGCTGTTTCCATTATGTAAAACTTCATTAATGCTTAAAACTATTTAAGAAAACAATTTAAAGAGATAAAAAAAAAATATTGAAACTTACATTGTACAAGATTGGAAAAACGCATTGAGCAATAGGCTTGTCTAAAATGGCGACGATTTGAGGAATCCAGCGAATAAATTTCCACGTAGGGCCAAATGACGATACCTATAAGAAAATATAATGAAAGAATATATTGCTGTTAAACTTATTGCATTATACCAGTCAATTTATTTTTAATTAAATAACATAAATACCGTTTGTTTAAAAGTCGACTGTGTATTATCATAAATGCTAATTATCTGAAGTAATCTTGGAAATAATTCTGATGCCTCCTTTGAACACTCTGCCATTGCTTTTAAAACATATTGAACAACTGTAGATGCGTACAATTCACTATCAAAAGAAACCTATGCACATCAAAAGTGTTAAAACAAAATATAAAGTATAAGGAAGAAAATTCATATATATAATTGTTATACCTCTTTTTGATCTCCATCAGTCGATTCTAAATTTCGTAAGTAATAATCACAGAATTTTGCAAATTTAACAAAAATTTTGGCTCTGTTCAAGGGCTAAAGAATCAACAAATAATAAAAGTAAATATAAGTTCAATAAAAATTAGGGACTAAAATATTTTTCCATACCTTGAGGTGTAAAGCAGCTTGATCTGCTGTATCTTTTAAAAGATCATAACCTTCAACGATAAAGCGTGATTTACGAAGTTGAAGAGAACGCGATAAATCACGAGTTTCATCATCATCAAGTACAGCTGCCAATGTAGCATATGTTTCACTTTCTGTTACGCGATTTTTTATTTTAGTTTCCATGTCGCTAATCTAAAAAAAATAATTAATGGACTAAATATTTAGCAATTTAAATTATTGTGAATGGAAGCTTTATTTAATACCTGAATTTTTTTAAATTCATCCGTCATTGCCAGCAAGATATTTAATTTTTTTTCAGCGTTTGCAGTTGTCAAAGCTTCCTGAAGATTAAGTTTCAACTGATGATAACCCAATTCATTAATGTCATGAAGTTTTGATTGCCTCGTTTTATTGAGACAAACACGCGCAACTTCAAAATTGCCTTGAACTCTCGCCGCCGAAGCCATTTTAAGTAAACCATCACGTTCCAACGAGCTTTTGATTTCAACGAACTATATATATATAATAGCTTGAATAAAAATAATGTTTGACCAGAAAAATACATATGAACAAAAAGTAACTTACGTGCATATCTTCTTGTAGCAATTTTGTCATAGCACCAAGAAGCGAGTGACGACTTGTTATAATATCATCCCAACTATTGGTAGAATCAAGCCGTTTTGAAGGATATCTGTTTAAAAATGAAGTATAGTTCAGAATTACTACGAAATGAATTATCAAAGGTTATCAAGGGTTGATAGCTGAAATTACCTATTTTTCCAATGATTAATAAGTTTTTCCCACTTTTCGGATTTTTCGGATTTTTCAGATGATTGAGAAAAATTCAAATATTCTTCCATTTCAACAATCTATTATTAAGTATAATTTGAATTTTTTTTAAAAAAAAAACATACTTTCTTTAACATTAAAATCATTCCTACCTGCTGTAAAGAACTCAATTTACTCAATCTCGTGCTAGATGCCAGCGGATGCAATGTAGACCAAGTAAACAAGAAATTATCATATGCTTTTCTGATATAAAGAAGTGCCTGTTCGGTTTCATTACGTGCTATTGATGTTAATGCGAGCTCTAAATGACAATGTGAAATCAACGTTAATAATAATTAAATCAGAAATCCAGCAAATCCAGTAATTGAGAGTTACCAATCGGATATTGAGAAGTTAAGAAAGATTTGCGCTCCGGATCAGACAAAGCGCGATCAATGAAACTAAAAAACATGTTACGATGATTTTCTTCGGTTTGGCCATGTACTAATTTGAAAAAACTATGCATGAAATATTGAAGATATGGATACTACAAATTTATAAATTAATTAATTATTGAACAAATTAAGTGATTAATAAATTAAGCGAAAAAATTTTATAATTTTAGACACCTGAAAGTCCTGATCCCAAAGCTTTTCCAAATCTGAATCAATATCTACACACACGGTTTCTGCCAAGTCGTCCCATTTTGATAATTTTTCAAAACATTCAAATCTGCCTTCCTCCCAAACTGTGACCTATAAAGAGAACATTAAAGAGAACATTAAAGAGAACGTATGAGAAATCGTCAAATTAAATATTTGAAAATTTTAACGATACCAACCTCGGCATCATCTGCATCTTCTACTTCACTTAATGCTTGCAAATAGAATTCACACGCTGAAGCATAATCTCCTATTAACTCAGCATTAAGAGCATCTATTCAAATAAAAAATATACGCATATATGTAAGAAAACCATTAAATTCAACGTTGAGTATTTAAAGAAAAATTTACACAACGCAATAAAAATATTAAGTAAACTTACTTTTGGTATATTGATTGTGGGCAATATAATTTTCATATATACTCTTATAAACATCACTACTATCGATTGATTTATAAAGATGTGCTAACTCTATCCATGGTTGTTTGCTCTCAGCGACGAGACTAGTATTTGTAGTACGTGTTCTCTTTGATACTATAAAATTAAAATTATAAATGAAAATTACTAAAAGTCGATAATATAAATATAAATTGATAATAAAGTATAAAGACTCACCTCTTTGTGGAGGAAGCAGTGTCAAATATTGTTCAATTAACGTTATACCCATTGACTCTGTTGAACTAATTTCACTAGCTTTTCGGATAGCTGAAGGGTTAATCTTGAGATCAGGAATTTCATAGCATATTCTTAGACAACTACTAATCAAAGGTGGAAAATATGAAGTCGTTGTGTTGAAAATGGTCTTAATATGTTGAGACATTGAATTTGTATATTCATTTTGCGCATTAACATCCTAAAAATAACAAATGTTATTCCAAAGTATATTTCGTTATTGCTTGAAAACAGTAATCAGATTTTTTTTTTTTTTATACCATGATCGTATCATCTTCAGTGGTTGTATAAATGGAAACAAACAATGTTGAAAATAAAATCCGAGAAATATCCAAGTCCCTATGCGCCAATGCTTGTAATGGACCAATAATATCGCTATGTTTAATTTCAATATCAGGAAGCTCGCCTGAAGTGTCGATTGATTAAAATAAATTTTTTTTTTCATTTCATTAAATTAGAATTTCTATAAAATTATATCAAACAAACAAACCAATTCGGTATTGACGCAACATTGAAACTTGTTTGGAAACAGTTTCTGGTCTCACAGAATTATATATTTCGGTTCTTTTTTTCTTCGTGTACGCCAAATTTTTGTAATATTCTTGTTGACTACCAAAATACGATGGTAAAAATCGTCTTCGAAGGTTTTGATACATTTGTTGAGAACTTTGCACCGACCTTACAAAAGAAATGTAAAAAAAAAAATTTAAGATAAAGCCTAACATAAATTTACATACAAAAAGTAAAAATTAACATATACTTCGACGCATTATCTGAGTCACCGTAAACAGCCTGTTTTCTTTTGCCCAATACGGGAGTATTCGCGGGAGCAAACAACAAATTAGATTGTGTCAATGTCCAAGTTGATAATTGAGATCCAATATCATAATTCACTAGAATTGTTAATAACCAAAGCAATAATAATTAATGTTATAAAATCTAATGCGAAACTATTTAAAAAAAATGATAAATTTTTACTTGGATCAATTGTCAAACTGAATGCATTATTTTTATTTGTCGCTCGAACGAATCCATCTTTAAAGTTTCGTTTATAAGCCTATTATAAATTTGTTCAAAACTTTAGCATAAAAAATTCTATTATGCTACATACTTCACCAATTTATAACTACCTTTTGATTATTTTTTTGTGTATTAACGAAGAGAGGTGTCATAGTATTATTCACTCGCCATGAGGTGTCTATATTGTCAAAATTGTCATCGAATTTAGATTGAGGTAAAGACTGATCAAATATAGGTTTCTTATAATCTATGCTCTTTTTTGGTCCTTCGAGTAATAAAAAGCATGAATATTGTAAAAAGAGCGTCTCAATCTCGGAGCAATATAAACTCCTAAAAAATTTAATAAAATTTAAACAATGAAAAAAAATAAGAACTATAGCCTTATTAATAATAATAGACATACCCAACAAGTTCTTTTAATGAAGTAAACGTATCATGAGAAAGTTCTTGTTGTTCCTTCCAAAATTCTGTCAATGTTTGTTGTATGTTTTCATCTAAATCTGCTAACCCTCTTAACAAACCGATTTTCAATTTTTGTTTGACTTTACTGTCTATTGATGTTTTCTTATATAACTGAATTAATATGGCAAAAAATGATTCCTGTGAAGTATTGTTTTGTGAAAGATTAAACAAATTCTCTGAACAAAATACATTCATTCATATTTTTGCATAGAAAAAGGATACTCGACAATTAATATTAGGATGATCTTTAAAACTTTCGAGTAATGGATCTAAGAAATAATCTACTAAAGTTTCATCTCCCTGAAGTAGTACACCATTCAAAATTCTTAATGCTACTAATTGTTCATTATCGCTCCTATAACAATTTGACGAAATCAAATCTACAGGTTCATATAGAACTAAAAGAGAAGAAAATTATAATATACTAACCTGTGTTTAAGTAATGTAAGAAGTTGATTTTTTCCCAAATTTGTAAGTAAATCAGGATCGCTTTCAGCGCAATATGAAATAACTTCTAATGCAAGAATTTTTTTAACATTAAGACTATTTAACCGTGGTAAGAGATTAAAAGCATATTTTAAAAATTTTTCTGATGTTGGCCGATCATGCATTGAAATATGATGTATGCAAGTAAGAAATGTGTTAAGTTCTGTTGGTTTGTTTGTAAGTTTTTTGTATAAAGCGGAAACCTAAAATTATTTAATAATATAATAGAATTTTAATCAAGTAGGAAAAGTAGTAGGAAAAGTAGTAGGAAAAGTAGTAGATATAAAGGTTAAAAATAATCTACCTTATCCATAATAGGATTAAGCAAATAGCCAAGCTTGTCATCAGAACAGTGATATTTCCGTAAATGTTTCAATGCCATACCACACACCTTGAGTGAAAAATAAGATTTTAAAATAAATATAATAGTAAATGGATAAATGTAGCTAAAAAAAATTATTTAAACATACTTCAGCTGTAAGAGAACGTATATTGCTTTTTTCATGATCTAATTTTCTAGTGAGATCCCAATAAAATTTTTCCTCTGTCAAGGTGCCAAAGTCAATCCCAACATCTTGTTTAAACAGTGACTTGTCATGCGTTAATGCGATACCAAATAACTGTAAGCCTGCAATAATTTTGTTTTCGTCCGAACTACTAAAATATTCATATATAACTTGCTAAAATTAACAATTTCAAGAAATCACGTAAGATCATGAAATAAAAAAAAGTTGCTATAATGCAATATAAATAATCTGAATCATACAGTTGGTACAACAATGATGTCGTGCCATGCTTCAAACATCCCCTTAATTGATTGAAGATTATTACGAAGGACGGTGCGATCTTCACTGCAAGTATTTCTCATTAAAAAATCCTAATTATATATTATATATTTGAGATAATAGTATTAATATTTCAGAGCTGAATCAATTTTATCAGATATAAACAATTACCATTAATTTGAAGATCAATATTTTATCCTCATAAGATCCTAATGTTTCGAAAGAACTCCAAACAATTATTATAGCGCAAAGATCCTATAATTTTAATTTAAATAATTCCTATTAAATTTCTATTAAAATTTCAACATAGTTAAAATATAATCACAATTTATACGCGATTACCTGAATATAATAGTTTATTCCTTTTCCATACGCATCACCTTCAATTATTAATTGCATTAATGGCCGAATCCAAATTGGAGCATACTTCTCAAAAGCTTCGGGAATATTGATGATAATTTTAGCAATAAATAAGCGTATGTTGAGATGTGTTTCTGAATAAAAAAAAAAAAATTAAATAAGCAATCAAAACATAATAATAATAATAATAAGTGGAAAATAATTACGTTACCTTTTTTAATGAACTTTTTATGTAAATCATTCATCCATATGGGTGTCGATTCAGACGTATTTGGTGATGTTATTTCAGTGTGAAGACGTTCGATTACTCTGATAATCGTTTTCATACAAGGATTTCGATTAAATGAATCAATTTCCAATTCCCTAGGTTCTGGCCTTTATTATGGGAATACAATAAAATAATTTAGTAAACTAACAAGTCACACGATATTACTCACAAATAAAATATTTACAAATCCTTTGTTGGTTCATCTACTTCCATTGGAGTTGGCTCATTATCTTCAATTTGTACACTTGAGTTTAAATCTTGGGTAATTTCCTCTATCATACTATCAAGATTGGCGGTCTTGAAGGAACATATACAGACATATAAATATATATATATAAATAAACATTCGTGAATTGTTCTGAGATTTAACAACTAACTTGTGAAACACTAGAGTCTGCCAAATATTGGGACGCAAGGTATTTTAAACTACTTGATCTAAGATTTTTTAGTAAAAATAAGTTTAGAAACTTTGAATATAATGAATTTAATAATGACTTAAAATGAACAGTGTGTTGATGTATACTTTTTCGTTTCTTTAGATAAACCCGCTGTTCTCGTCCTAAAATCATCAAGTTTAGTCTTAAAAAATGGTTGTTCAGAGTCCGCATTGAAATGATGTTTCATCTAATTAAAGAATATGATTAATACAAAATTGTCTAATACCAAAGTACTGCTAACTTTATCCATTAAATTACCTTCAAATCAACAATATTCTCCCAGACATATTCCCCTTTGAGAACGTTATCAGAAAATAAAAATGTCCTATAAAACACTGGAGTATTTTTGGAAGTATTTTCTTGTGTGCACAAAATAGCTGCTGCAAGAGCATTGTACGCAGAACACCGAAGTAGTAGTTTAGCTTCTATAACAGAGTCGCTTGAATATTCATCCTAACAATTATTAAATATTTTTAAAATAAGCAGCTAGGAATTTACAATATGTTAATTTATTTTAAAATTCATACATTATCGCTTTTTGACTTGGTTTTATGTGCAAGGTCCATTATTATACGAGTCAGTTCCTTTGCCTTTGATATTCTTCCTTGAAAATAAGTTTGAACAATTTCTCCTTTTTCTGAATAAACGTCATCTTTAGAAACTCGAAGATACATAATGTTAAAAAAATACTTAAGGACTAAAATTATTTAGTATAAAACTATAAAACATGTAACGATACTAATATAAAATTTAATAAAAAGGATATCTGTAATAAAGTAAATGATCCAGCTTTTGCATCAAGTTCATAAACTAATTCAGAATCAGTCCTTGGATGTCTATCCTGTTCGATAATATTGATTAACTCTTTAATGTGTTTTTTGTAAAATTCCACAACAAATATCCTTGTTCCTTGCATCAATATTGGACTTAAGATTGATTGGATTATATTTCGATGAAAATTTGCAAACTTTGCATCCATGAAATATCTAACCAAAAGTTATAATAAAAGTAAGAATTATTCGTTAAACAAGATAAAATAACATTAATTTATTTATAAATACCCGAACGCTATTTCCAAGGTTTCAACAAATTTAGATCGCGGGAGTTTAGAAACAAATTCTCCCAATTGGCGATAAAACTCTTCACTATAAATATGATCATTCTCTCGAACAAAAATAGGAAGCATTATTTTAAAAAGGCTAACGCTATCAGATCGAACCATCGCTTTAAGTAGTCCATCAAGTGCTAAAATGTATTCATTTAGTCTATCACATAATTAAGGAAATAATTTATAATTTATAGGTAAAATCACATTAATAATATTCGAATTAAAAGGATACTTTCTTGTTCCACCAGATTTGTAATCTGATGACCATAAAGGAAATTGGTTATTCAACATATCCGAAACACATGATTCAATCTAGATAGAGAACCACCACGTTTAGCAAAGTTATATAATAATAAAAGTAAAATTTTTTTTTAGATATTACCTTTTCAGTAGGCATATCAGATTTAAGAAATACTGGCATAATTTCCAAAGCTTCACATTTAAAATCAAGCTCTGTCTCTTTTCCAAGAAATGATACATATGTATCAAAGAATAATTGTTTGAAGTTATTTGAAAATGGACGCTTTAATAGATGGCGATCAAGCTTTATAAGTCCCTTCCATATTTTCAACAAGAAACGTTGGTCTTTTGAACTGTTAACGCTACAAGAACATTAATGTAATTAAATTGATAATTAATATATAAATTATATAACAATATCCGAGTAATGCTTACAACTGATTCAAAAAATATGATGAAGAGGTTGACGAGGTTGATGAGGTGAACTTGAAAAAAAAATTTTTTTTTGAAAAATGATTAAAGAATTCGTAAACATGCTAAAATTCATATCGACCTTTTTTTTTCACTTACATCGTTCAAAAATAATAGTATCTGTTCCGAATTTTTCTTGAAGGATAAATAATCAATTACACCCGAAATGACATCTTTTACTATTGCATCATTAATGTTCTCACAAAATATTAAAGCAAATCCTTTGAAATTACGAGATACATGTTCATTGATCTATTTTAAACGATTATGAAAAATTAATAAAAAATATTGTACTGATAATTAATCATATTTTAATTGAAAATAATCACTTACGCTTGAAAAAAATTTCTGATAATACAGACTACCATCTTGATAGTTCACACGAGAGCTATTACTTGGAAAGCCCTGAATTAATTAACGCAAAACGAAAATGTCAAACACAGTTGAAATATCCGAAATATGGTAGTAACAGATTTATAATACGCACCAAGATATCACTGAGAAGCCATCTGTTCAAAGCATCAGGATTATTACTTAAAACAAAGGTAAGTAAATGACCCGCAAGTTCAATCCAAACGGGTTCCTCTGCATTCCTAAGAGACTTGAATTTTTCCCACATCAATACAGTATAACTATGTAGATCATGTAAAGTATTATTATGAGAAAACAGTTCTGGAAAGATCTCGGTTGATGCCAAAATTTTAAAACCAGCTGTAATATGAATGTAACTAGCAGGATCTATTAATTCACGAATAAATAAAACATCAATGTTTAGATATAATTATATAAACAATTTTTTCAAAAAAAGCGGACTTTACCTGACTTTTCAATTTCGATGCTAAGCAAATCAATTTCATCTGAAAATGCAATATCAGCAATTTCTTTAACCATTTGATCTCGTTGAGAATCCCCAGATTTTGAACGTTTTTTCCACAAAGTTAATAAATGTTCCAATTTTTTTGTAAATTTATCACGTTCATTTCCACCACTATATAATAAATCCAAACCCAAACTTTCAAAATAAAATAAAGATTTTGCTATTGTCTTAAAAAATGGATTACCAAAAATGTTTGTATTCCAAATACTTTTTATATCATTATCATTAGCATTTTCAAGTATAACAATAGAAAAATCTATTAAACGATCAATCATTTGTGCTTCACGATTTAACCATTGTAATCTTTCACCAGGAGTTAAAATATTTTCGGAACTAATTGAACTAAAACTACTTTCATCATCAACATCCATCATTTCATGTGAATAATTTGAATCAACATTTAATACCATTTTATCTAAAAGATAATCAATGGCTTTTTGAAAATTTGTACTTTCATTTTTAATTAATATTAGTGGTGTCACGAATTTTTCTTTGATTAACCAAGTATAATTTTCTAATATGCATAAGAATCGTAAACACCATCCTTTGGCTTTTGATGAAATCACATTATGTTGTTGAGAAGGTAATTGGGATAATATCGAAATTTTATAGAGATTTTTTAGAAAAGATGGATCTTTTGTGAGTTCATATGAAACCCATCGAGAACCACTTTTATGTTCTAAAATAAAATGAGAAAAAAAAAGGTTATAAATTAAATATTATTCGAAATTTTTTTTTACAAAATATTATAACCATTATTCACCTGGTAATAATGTCACAAATTCGGAAAATAATTCTCTACACATATTTGCATAATCCCGTTCCAGTTTACGAGTCTCATTAAATAACCATTTAACTAAGGACGATAAATCAGCTTTATCAAGATTAGAAAACTTGCGCCTCGTTTCTGTTTCAGTTATAAACAGATTTGATTTAACAGTAATTATTTTTTTCAAATGTCTAATCGCCGCGATAGCTTGTTGTCGTGTACCTAAAAAAAATTTTTTTTTGATTAAACGTCATGAAAAAACATTCCAAGCAATAAAATTAAAATCATTATTAATCAAAAGATATACCAATAGCATCTTGATCTTGATCAGAAAGTCTCAAATTAAATAAAATCCAATATAAGAGTTCAAATGTAAATTGATCGATTAAAGACTCTTCCTCACGATATACACGATATATATGATTAACAGCAAGTGAAGCTCCAAGGCGTTTGGTATAATCAGGATGTGCAGAAAGATTATATAAACGCTTTAATAATGATTTAATGTTCGTCGGATTCTCGTCCATTTGCTATAACAATAAATGTTATAACAAAAATGTTATAAAATGTTTCTTGAACAAAATATAAATAACAAAAACGCGTAAAACGGGTAAATACCTGAGCAGATGACTGTTTAATTGACCATAATAAGAATTCATTAAGACATTCCGCGCCATAATCTCTCAATGAACCCCAAGTATCACATATCGCATCGAGACAACATTGTAATAACGCAATAGTCTCTGGGTTCTCATATTGTGCATTATTTGTAAACCAATGTATCATTTGTGCTACAAGACGACGAAACAATTTTCTTGGTACTTGATCTGTATCAATGGCCAAACGTAAAAGTGCGGGAAATATTCGACGATATATACGATAAAATGGACTCTAATAACAATTATCATCGCGTAAATTTTTTTAAATCTTACATAAGAAAATCATAAAAATCAAAATTTATAACAATATTTTATATAAACCTTTTGTGGTCCTGCCGTACTACGAGCTTGAAACGCGCTCTTGCCAATCATAAACAACATAATAGAATGTAAAAGTTCACAAGCAAAAATCTTTGTTTTTCGATCAGGAGCTGATTCGGCTAGTTCAACAATACGTGGGAAGAATTCATCTACGATAATAATATTTGTGGCAAAATTCAAACATATATATATATATATATTTGATTTGATGTCTAATTTTTAAAAACTTAAAATTTACCAATTGAAATTTCCACATTGGTATCCGGATATGGAATATTAAAAATTAATCGTTTTTCAGGATCCCAAGCCAAAAGATTATTTGAAGTTTTATCTTTAAATCCATGAATATTTTGTTGTTGATTTGTAGTTTCATTATCAATTATTCGTTCAAATATTAATTTACTAGTTCCACCAAGTCTTCCAAGAATTCGAAGAACGCGTACTTGTAAATTATGTAATCCAGCATTTTTCTTTAACTGACCCATCTGGTATAAAATTATAATGAATATAATATATATATATACTACATAATTAAATAATTTAAAATGATAAATACCCCAACAAAAGTAGAACTTTTATGTCTATCCACATCTCTTATTTTTTGCTTTCTAGCTTGTTCAACAGTTTTAATTCCACGTTTCAATGATTGAGCATCAGCACGTACTTGAGCAATTTCTTTAAGAGAATTATCCATTGAATCAGCAGTAACCAATAAATAATCATTTAAAAGTGGTAATAATTGTCCAAGTAATTTATTAATATTTTGAGATTCTTTAATATCTAATAATTTTTCAATTGCATTTAAACCAATATTTGCAAGTGGTTGATAACTTTGACCCAATTTTAATGAAATACGTATTGGTGATATAAGATTATCCATATTAAGTAGCTCTTTAGGAGACGAAAGAACAAGATCAAGGCATGAAGCAAGTAAATCATCTTTGTATTGATCAAGTCGTACACAAACTTCTTTGAGAAATTTTGTAAAAAGAAAGTAACTCGCGCGTTGCAATGATGTCGCAGAGGACGATAATTGATCATGCACGCCGTGAATCGCAGTATTCTACGCGAATCAAATAAAGACAACAATTATCCAATATAACAATATAAACATTAAAAAAAATGCGCAATAAAAAATAATAGATATACCTCATCATTTATTTTTTTAATACCATCAAAAAACTTTATAATTTCGCATACTTTCATACATGAACCTAGCATCTTGTAAAAACCACTAACATAAGGATATTGGGTAGAAAATGTTATTAAAGTATCACCTGAAAGATAAACCCATCTTGAAAATAATTCATGTCTGATCCTTGATAAAAATAATTTCCAGAAATCAACAAGATTTTGAAAAAGTACAAAATCTTTTGAAACAACAGGTTTTAAATTATCTAAATCACCAGATCCAGCAATTGCTATTAAATTTGAGTCGGTATTTTTTTCAATTTGATCAGATCCAGTTTCAGTAATATGAGTTGTTGTATCATCAGATGCTACATCTATAACATCAAAATTTAAAGTTCTAATCATACGAAATACAGCAGATAAAAATTCATCATATAGTATAGAAAAAAATTCTTTGATAGTATTATTATTTTGAGGTTCTTCAGATGAATGACCACTTTGACGAATAACCCAAGTTAAGGTCGAATCTTTAAAAATATGTTCCCAGAAATTAAACATTTCTTGATACGTATGTTCAGCTACAGGATTAACAATTCCAGGAACATTTTCTTGAATATCAGCCTGATTTTTATATTGAATTGCATCTGTACACGTCAAAACCATTGCGTGATAAACTACAAAAATTTTAATATTTGTTGGTTAACATTTGCTGATTAAAATAATAACTTTTTTTTATTATATAATAAGATTGATAACGCACATGTTTTAGCAACAAATTTTTGCAAAACACCTCGTCCTTTCATATATAACATCCATAATAGTTGTACATAAGCATTTGCACTTCTAAGACGTAACTCTGATATTAAACGTGGGTAATACATAAGCATTAAACCCACTTCACGTTCAATAACCTCCATTAATTCATCAAATATGACATCAAATTCATGTCCAATATAACAATAAGCTTCAATGAACAGCGGTATTTGTTGAACACTTAGAGAAGTCTCTTTATAATCCATACTACAATATTTAACGATAAGTATTAGATCTAAGTAATTAAAATTAATTCATAATTAATTAAAAATTAATAATAAAGATAATA